ATTTAACAGTTACAATGATACTTTTTTCATTTTTTTAAACAACAGAAAAAACCGAGAAAGAAAGTAAAGTTTACATGTCAGTATATTATAACAAACTATCCCTCAATTTAAAAGCTTTATCACAGAACATAGCTAAATTTTTCAATTCTTTCTTGCGACCAGTTTGCATTAATGAAATGAATTTAAACATACTTGTGTTGCAATAATAGTATCTTGGAATGTATTGCTTTCTTAACTCAGAATATATCGGACATTTAAGGATACAGTGAAATTCATCTTCTATATCATTCATATAACATAAAGTGCACTTTCGTTCATTCCTTGGTACATTATTATGTCTTCCTAACTCTATATTAAGTTTGTGTGAGGAGAGTCTTATTTTTGCTAAAACATTTCTATATTTTACATTTTCAATATATTTTATATATAACGATTGTTCAAATGTGATCTTATATTCCCTATATACATCTAACAATGATGAAGATTGAATACCATCTTCCAACAACTTATATAAATATCCCGTAATCTATTCCTAAAAATAGGTACAAATAGTTTTATACTAACAGAATCGGGATATAACCAGACTTCATTAAATCCTGCTGACTGAAGAATGTTTTTAACTTTTGAAGCCCAGTTTGTTGAACAATTTACCACATCAACATCATATATCTGTCTACACAATATTGTTCTCAATATACAATTATCTTTTTTACTTGTATTTAACTTAAGAAAATATTTAATCATACGAATATGCCTTTCAATGTAAAGAGGAAATCTCCCCTTGGTGATTTCCTCCTTAAATCGTTCAATTTTTTGACAACGTGTATTATTAAAAGCATTCTTTGATTTTCTACATTGATATTTATAGTCTTTTCTTTTATTAAAAAGTATAGTTCTATCTTCTGAAGAGTAAGATAAATTATATCTGGATACAGCATCCTTATATGCAGCCAATTTTTGAGAACATAAATTATCAAACCATTTCTTATTTTTGTTATTATCACTAAAACAAACTTCACTGTCAACAATATAAGTCTTCTTGAAATACTTATCACCATGCTCACACAAAAAATTAGTAAAAATAGAAGTGAGTTTATCAACACTGTTTTCTCCATTAATTTCAGAACGTAAATCACTTTCAAGTGAGTTCAAATTTTGAGATATATCTCTCAAAAATAACTCTTGGTATCTTTTATCAAACTTAGTACGTGTATTAGTACTACTTGTAGGCTCATATAATGGTTCAATATTAGTTTTAAAAGAAAACGACAATGTGGCATGGTTGGAAAAAATATTGAATTCTCCGACCTCAAAATTGTCAAGTAAGCAAAAATTATCTTCTTGTGTAAGTAGGTAATCTACTACACTTGTTCCATTATGCGTGAAACAGGTAAATTTCCCATGATCACCTGGCCAGCGACCGTTGAACTATTCGCTGATTGGTTGCTTTACAGAGATCAAGTAGATAATCACCGAACCAAATTGAAGTAGTATCTCGATGGGATTATCAATAGTTATTACGTCACCACTACTAATATTTCTGTCAAACTGAATAAAATCAGCTTTACAACCAGTTCTACTATTAAGATCGCCTACAACAAATATTTTGTCTAGCAAATTATAGCAAATTATAGTCCATAATATCTTGTTCAAGTTGTGAAAAAATATCAATATTGTAAACGTTATGCATAGGGGAAGATTCAGGTGCGATGTATGTAAAGCAAATATATATATCATCTCTAATATTAAAACATGTTTTATCTATTTTTAACCAAATTATACAGTCTATAGCATATTTAACAATTTTTATTCCTTGCCTTATAGTGTCTTTAATACATACCACAAGCCCGCCGCTTGACCGCTTTGCCCTACGGTGTTGATATTTCCGATATGAGTGAATTGGGTTTGAATAGCCTTTAAGTTCAATATTTGACGATTTGTTTGTCCATGTCTCACTTAGACAGATAATATCATTTTTACATAATATGTCTAAAAAATCCTTGCATTGTTTTTTCCCCACAGTAAGTCCTTCTACGTTCCACGATATACACTTTAAAACATTCCCACTTGGTTCCTAGCATGATTCTCTATAAAGCTGATTGTTAATGTAAAGTTTGTCCATCTTAAGGTATGCTTCCTTTCCATCCCGGCGGGCCTGTAACATGATAGGGATTAACTTACGGCGCTGATCTACTATTTCTTTCGGATACTGTTCTGATATGCCATAGATAGATCCCTTCAGCTCCTTAGCAGCTCGTCGCACCCGCTCACGATCGGGGAAGTCCGTGAATTTAGCGACAATCGGTCGTGTTTTTCCGGCACTATATTGCCCAATGCGATGTACTCTCTGAAGTCGGATATCACTAGATGCATTTTCTATTTTAAGTTTTTCTTCAATGAATTGTAGGATTTTAACTTCACAGTTTTCATCTTTTTCTTCTTTGATTTTGTGAAACAATAAATTGTCCCGCATACGACGACATTTCAAATCTTGTATTTCTGACTTTAATGCGATTTCTATGCTTTTATGTTCTAGTTCAATTTTCGACATTTTACTGGCAAAACTATCTAACTCTTTGTGATGCTTATTCATTTCCAACAAAGTTTGACTATCGAAGTCGCGGCTACGCTCTAAAGCCTGTACTTTATCATCGAGTTCATTGACCTTTAATTCCATTGTTTGGATACGCATGTTTATACTGTCAACACTACATTGAATTGTATCTAACCTGGAAAGTTTATTGTCCATACTATCCAACCGTTTTATTATCATTGCCATAACGTCTGTGCCTGGCGAGGCGGTTACATGAACATTAAATGAGTTACATGCATCCATTTGTCCCATAATTGGGTAGGGGCTTGCACCAATATTCATTGGAGGGGGTAAGTGTATCCAAAGTTAGATGATAATAACTGTGATGGGGGTATAAGGTTGTGTTTGTTTAAACGATGAGTCAGTACTTAGCTTTTGTCCATTTTGTCCATTTCCCTTGTCCATGTTTTGCCTTTGTTTACGTTCCCGCCTTTTCACTGGTGTTTGATGTTTTTCTTCTTCAGGCGAAGTTTTAGACTTTTTCCGCTTTCTGGTCATATGGTCCCAATATTAAACGTTCCCTTCACCAAAAAATATATCCAAAACTTATTTTGATCACTAAATAACTTGTAAATATATTAATTTTCCATTTTCTATTACACTGATTTAAAATTTCAACCATTTGCTCACGCATGCGCACTTTTCTTATATAGTTCTAGAACGAAAAGGGCGCAGCAGGCTCACACAGCTCCTTATATAGCATTCTAAATATAGCTCTCAGACTGAGCAGGCGTATTGATACGCAGTTCTAATGATCGATAAATTAAGAAATGTGTCATTCATGTAAAATAAAAGAGTTAATTCTTTAATATACTGATTATGCAAAACAAACGAACCCGTATAGTTTAAAACTACTCCTTGATAGTTGAAATCATTAACTATTTCTAATTGTTCATTATCATAAAAAATTCATTCTGTATTTTTTCTAAATAAAACGGCCTTTGTTTTATTAAGTATTCACCTGTAAACCACAGTATGTCTAATATTCATATAATTAGTAACGACTGGATTGTAAATCTTCGACTAAAATAAAGACATCAGCAAAGAGTAAAATAATGATACAAAGTTCAAAAATTGACAAACCACAATTTATTCCGTTTTGTAAATATAGTTCTAAGTCATCTTAAAAGTGCAAACAGAAGCGGAGAATTATTGACGAAGACCAATTGAAATTTCAAATGAGTCTGAGAATGTGATGCAAGACTTAAAACATGATTTAACAACAGTATACATAGCCTGGAACATTTTTCTCATCAAAACCCATGTTAAACAAATTGAACCATAAAGCGCTTTTATAAACAGAAGGCGCATGGTAGTCGCATTACGTTTTAGTTAAAACATGTCCTATCAATATGTAAAACAAATACTGCGTCGACAGTTCTACCTCTCCTACGAAAGCCAAACTGTGCATCTGAATAAAAAACTATTATCTTCAAACCACTTTTCAACTCTTCCAGTAAGAACATAGGTAAAATTTATAAAAATTATTCCGCTTATTATTAATTAATTAATTATTTGGGAAAATTTTTACCTTTTTTATGTAATGACACTACATGTATAAAATCTTTGAGACCAAATTTCGGCTATAAGCATAGTGATATAAAGTCGATCATTTGACAATTTATGAACACATATTAAAATTCAGAAAATAAAACGAATTAAATAATTTCATTTCCAATAGATATGTGTTTTTTGTTGCTTTGTGTGTGTGTGTGTGTGTGTGTGCGTGTGTGCGTGAATGCGTGCGTGTGTGTACGTGTGCGTGCGTGTGTGTGTGTGTGTGTGTGTGGCTGTGTGTTGTTGTTGTGTGTGTGTGTGTGTGTGTGTGTGTGTGTGTGTGCGTGTGCGCGTGTTTGTGTGTGTGCGTGTGTGCGTGTGTGTTTTATGAAATTCTGTATATTTTTTCAGTTTCCAAAGTGTTCAGTATCTCCCAGACACCCATATCTTTTTTCCTTCTAAAAAGGTAATACATAAAGAAAACCTTTTTATATTAAGAGATTGTGGCGTTTGTTTACAAATTGTAGGAAACGATGCAGTTCTGATGTCCAGCTCTGACTGACCAATACATTATTGACCATTACCTCCAGTCAGCTGCAGGAATATAGGAAGTATAATTTTATTCTATGCTAGGAATAATCGATCAACTTTGACATAGAAAGAACAACTTTTCAACAGGTAATTATATTAAATATGTTCTACATGAGATTTATTTAATGAATACTTAAATATTTTTTGCAAAGTTTTTTTTTTATATTTTGATTCATGTGAAACAGTGAAGACTTAACCCTGACATTTTACTTTTAATGAGCAAATTTGATCATGTCAAAAGAATCAATGATGATTCTGGTTCAAGAACATTTAATTTACAAGTTGCTATGTTGTTGTTGGTTTTTTACATTAAGAAACTAAAAAAGTTGCAGTTTTTATATTGGATATAACAAAAGGTTAAAAACACGTTGAAGAAGAAGTTCGGACGTTTCTAAATTTGGAATTTTCACAAATTCATGGTAATGTCTCGCGAACGCTCAGACAAAAAACTCAAAACAAATATACGCATGCATTGGTGTTCAACACATCTTCTAATGACTAATCTTAGCAATATTTAAATGTATTTGGTGAATTTTATGTAATACTATATGACCAGATGAATATAAATTAGTCTGACTAAGAAACAATTTCAAAGTCCATTAAATAAACATAGATTAAAAGCAAGCCGGAACATTTTCTACACTTTAATTGTGATGAATGACTACTCAAACCAATTTTTAATACAAATCATTGACAGAAGGTTTCAACTTCATAAATGTTCATGTTAAGGTTAGGCTGAAGAATGAGTTCCATGCTAGTAGCAGCGATTGATTTCGGAACCACATATTCCGGATGGGCCTTTTCTTTCAAGCATGACTTTGATAAGGATCCAACAAAAGTTTCCGCCAAAAATTGGATCGGCGATCAACTTGTCTCGGCAAAAGGTATATTTTATCATTAACAGTTTATTTTTTATAGAGTAAAGACATTAGTCAAAATTTCGGAAGATGTACAGGGTTGCCATAAGTCATAAATATGAGAAATGTTCAATGAATAATAATAAACTATTAGAGTTTTTGAAATTGTTTTATCTTAAAAAAAATTGCCAAGATCTTTGTTTATTATGCAATACTTTAATAATGTAAAAGAATAGTGTATGCTTTTGGTATACATGTTTACTGTTCTACTTCATTTCATCAATTTATACATTTCTAGCACCAACATGTGTTCTGATTAAACCGGATGGGAAAACGTTGCATTCATTTGGATATGCTGCGGAGACCAAGTATGCGAATCTTGCAGAAGAAGGGACTCACAAACGATGGTACTACTTCCGGAGATTTAAAATGATGCTTTATGACAAGATGGTAATCCTTAAAATCTTTTCTTTTATACTGCATACTTAGATATGTTTATATTAATATGTTTGCTAGAATTTGCAGGTAATGTGATGTCGAATTTCTCTGTATTTTATTTGTCTGTTTGAAGTCTTACCGACACTGTAATGTTTACGTGGAAACTTTCCAGCTTTACATTATTGAGGCACTAGTCGGCACCTGAGTAGAACCTTCGGCCTTCCGAACACTATATGGATACCTTCCATACAGGCCTAGGTCTCTGATGGGATTCGAACCTAAAGCGGTGCTGGAAAAGTGCAGTGTGATGAAATATAAATATAACTAGTACTAAATATCCATGAATGTTTGTTTAGAACTATGTCTTTTCTTGTGATAAAATCATACATAGACCAATTCCAAGAAACGTAATATTAATCTTTGATGTCTTTATCATCACCCACGAACTTCTCTTGTTCATTTCTTCCCCTATCAATACATAAAAATGTCTACCTGTTTCCATAAAGCACGTGTACGTGCGTGCGTGCGCGTGTGTGTGTGAAAATGTATGAATATTTCAGGGATTTCATGTAACCACTGAAATGATTATGTATTTTATGCATTCCCTAATTTGGCCAGTGACTAGTTAAAATCATCAAGAGAGTACACAAACTACCTGACACGAAATTCTTAATTAAACACTTTTCCTGAAACATACATGTAACGACTACGAATACATACAGTAAACCTCATTAAATATAAGTAATTATTTGATTTTACCCCATGAAATATGGTGCTATATCAATCAAATATATATTACAAAAAATGCAAAAGATTGTCGGAATTTAATATAAAAAATAAAGAAATCATTTACAGAACTTCCTATGTTCGAATTCTAAATGTATAGGTGCATTTGTTTTGAAAAACGATTGAAATAACTTGTGTATCTCAAGATAATGCAATATCGCCCTTAAGTAAACATACAAAACATATCTCTCTTATTTATTTCTAATTCAGTAGCAGTTAGAATGCAGCTTGGTAAAGAATTACATGGAAAAGGCAGATTCTTTATAAGACACTTAGCGGTTTCGATTATAAAAAGCATACATATAAAAACAGTGTTCTCACTTGCAATTAAGTTTCTGAAGCAAGATCTTCTGGAAGATTGTCACAAACAACTTGCTGATGTCTTAACAGAAGATGATATTAAATGGGTTCTAACAGTGCCTGCAATTTGGAATGATGGAGCAAAACAGTTTATGAGAGAAGCGGCAGAACAAGTCAGTAAATAGTTTCATTTAAAATCAACATATTGTCATTTCAAATAGTTTGATCGGCATGACACTTAGTGACATGTGTCTAAAATATTAGTAAATTTATACTTTTTTACAATGTTTATATGTACCAAGCTTTATTCAATGATTATTTTATGAAATGATAAATGTACTAAATAACATTGAAAACTATGTTACAGGCTGGTATTCCAGGGTCAAAGTTAAAGATTGCACTTGAGCCGGAAGCAGCCTCTCTTTACTGTCGATATTTGCCCGTTCAGAAAGGCCATGAACAAAATTCCTTAGCTTCATTCGAACCAGGGACGAAATATATTGTCTTAGATGCTGGAGGTACATTTTGTTAAGTATTTTATCATCGCGACTTGACTGAGTTACAAGACAAGTGCTCAATTTTATTTTTAACATTTTGAGAATTGTTTTTACAAAAATAAGTTAAATATGTTTAATGTTTTTATTGAAATGTTCTTTGCGTCTATATGCTATTGATGTATGTGAATCACTTAACAACGGTGTTAAACCACGCGCAATGTATTGCCATCATAAGAAAGTCATGTTCTTGTGAGCCATGTACATTGACGTCTTTACACTAAAATAATTTGATGTATAGATGAGATATTAATACTAAATTTCTTGAACGAGTTGAATAAAATCAAGCTCTAGCGAAAAGTAAATTGTTGAAATCAACCCGTTCAATAACATTAGTATTGACACTACATTAGTATATTTAATGGGAAGAGCAAACTTTATTTATTATGATTAAAAAATAATTATTGCTCGTCAGCAACGGCAAGGACACAGGTTTACGAATTGTATAATACGTTCAAAAAAGAATAAAATTTGTTCAATCGAATTACGTTGCTTTAGAACCTGTCTAGGCTCTGGTTCAGTCAAAAGTATATATTTAATGGGTTTTCCGTGTAAACTGGCCAGCTAAGTTTCAATACTAGTCCCCAAAAGACTTTCTTAAAAGTAGTGCAGATAACTTGAAAGACAGTTGGTTAAACTTGGCTTAGTGTATAGGAGCCAGAGACAATACAATACAGTTCTGTTTGGAAATCTTTATAGTCAACACTACAGTTCCAAAGCTATCAAAAGAAGTATGCTTGCGTTCATGACGGTGTAAAAAATCTGCAAATTTACAGTAAAAAAAAATCCGAAAATGTTTTTGTCTTGAAATTGCAAGAGAGATTAGATCAGTTATCAAACCAGTAGGAGGAAAAATATTTATTTTATTTCAATATAACTATATTGATGAAGTGTCTGCTAAAGCTTTGGGTGACTATTAAAGCTTTGTTTTCAGACATGCATCTCCTCAACAAATCATTGTATTGGCATGATAAAAAGGTATAAATTACAAAACAATCACTATAAAAGAATTCATGCAATTTTCACGACTTGAAGATTCAAATGCTTAACAGTCATTAAATTACTATAGCCATTGCTATATATTTGATACAATGTGCAGTTGGTATGACTCAAAAGAGTGAAAATAAATGAATAAAATTGAACTTCAATTTTTCATTTTGATATGTAATCCCAAAATTATCACTTAGTAGATTATTGTTAATACCCTACACTGTAATTGTCCATGATTATTTTCATCGTCTGTTGCAAAGTAGCCTAATGAAATTAGTTATTAGTTAACAAAAATTGGGATTCAAGGGAGATATGAATGACAGACAAAACAAATGAGACTGTTTTTATCAGTTTATTTTCATAAAATGTGACTCGAAATCTTTAACCCATCTATATGCCTGCCCTGAAACATGCAAATCATGATGCTGCAAGCAAGCATTTCTCAAAGAATGGTCTCGACTTGATGTCCTATTATACTCGGTTCCTATGATATCAAGGGTTCTATGATATCAAAGTATTTAAATTTTCTGTGACTGCTAGTAAAAGCAACACATGATGATGCTAATATTTGTAAAACTTCCACACTAGATTCATTTTCATCTGCCAATAAGTTGGTGAATAATGAATGTATTTGTGGCAAGAAAACCATTTTATAAAACCTTCATATTTGACTACCATTTTCCTTGATGATTTTTACACAGTCAATTAAAATATGTTATAAACACATATACTGACATATAGTCTGTTCATATAGTTTTAATTTTATAGCAAGTTAAGTGTTGGAAGTTTTTCACAACTTAACTTGAAAGTTTTGACCCATCCATCCTATCATACTTGCTTTTTTGGGGATTACCTTGATACCGTAGTAACCTCCTCTGAAATTACCCAAAATGGCAGACATTGAAAGTATTAAAAAAAATGTCATTTTTATTGGTTCTTTTGAAATAATTTTTTGACAAACAGTTCAGGAAAAGGTTCAATTATAAGATTGAAGAAAAATCTCATTCATTTATGATATTGATATTTAAATATTTTCTGATAAACATTAAGTACCGTGATATCATAGAACCCCGGGCTACTTACTTCTTGAATAGATTTATTGACATACATATGTCACTACAATACCAGCTATATCTATATTTATTCTTGTGTGGTATTTGCAAATACGACATAAATTTACAATGGGACAAACAGAAAAGATACCTTATTACAATGATTTTACCATTGTTTCCTTGGTTACCACAATGCTTATGCTATACTTAATCTACCTAGATAAAGCATATATTTTGCATTGTATTGATAGCATTCACCATCTATTTAAATACCATTGCAGCATGGCTTATTACAAGTACTTAAAATTACCAGATGAAAAAATATATTTATCTCCATTTCTATTTAAAGTTATAAAATGATATCTTAAAACTTATTTTATGTTCGTTTTAAAGGTGGAACTATTGATATCACGGTTCATCAAGTCATAGTAGATGGTAAACTCCGAGAGTTACACAAAGCTAGTGGAGGGGCCTGGGGAGGAAGTATGGTAGACAAAGCTTACGAACGATTTCTTTCAGATATAGCAGGTATCTACGATTTTCTGTAAGTTTTATACGAAACATTTTGAGCATATTACTATACCGTATAAAGTACTAATCCCTCACAACAGAAGAATGCAAATCATTCATAAAAGTGTGGGCCTGCATCTACTTATAATAAAAAATGAGGCAAATTTGGCAAAAGATGATGCTTTGATACTACGGTTTGCATTGCTCGAATGTACTTAAAAATAAAAAAGAATTCAGTTCCGATATTATGAAATTACCTGTTTACGTAAACTGTATGTTTGATATCATCAGGTGATAAAAAGAACTGAATTTTTGCAATCTTTCATTTGATAATTAAACTATTGTCTACGCTTCAAGCGACCATATTTTTAAATAAAGGATATTTATATAGGGCCAAAGACATTTCAACAGTTTAAGAAAGAGCATATGGATGATTATATTGATCTGCTCCGAACGTTTGAGGTTAAGAAAAGAGAAATATCACCAGGTCAGTCAGACAGAGTGACATTTCGCATACCGCCTTCACTTGCAGACACTATCAAAGATGCAGGATTGTCGATAATGGACAAAATCATGTCATCACCTTTCAGAGGAAATATTAGTTATGTAAGCGGTAAACTAAGAGTTGACGCTGAAATTGTTCTGTCATTTTTCGCAAAATCGGTAGATAGTATTGTACAGCATTTAGCGTCGTTATTGAGAGAAAGGATCAATAGAGGATGTACAGCTATTGTTATGGTTGGTGGATTTTCGGAGTCAATCATTCTTCAAGATGCTGTTAATTGCGCATTTGGAAGAAGGTACAATGTTATTATACCACACGGGGCTGGTTTAGCTGTCTTGAAAGGGGCTGTTATTTTTGGTCATCGGCCAAGCACAATCTCCGAGCGAATATGCAAGTACACATATGGACAGTCCGTTTCGCATAAAACAACTAGTGCTTGTGATCATCCGCCGACCAGGACAATATCGATTGATTGAAAACTATACTGTTCTGAAATTTTCAAGAAACACATAACAATTGGACAGACTGTAAAACTAGAGGAAGAACAAATGGAAATGATCACATACCCTACTTATGCTGACCAAACAATTATTGGCAGGGAAATATATGCATCAAAATCGCCTGACCCTTGTCTAGTCACTGAACCAGGTTGCATCAAAATAGGCCATTTCGAAATACCTATTCCAGATACTTCACTTGGAACAGACAGAGAAATCGGAACAAGGTTTATATTTGGTGACACAGAGATTGCCGTAAAAACTGAAGATAAACAAACAGGACAAGTTCAAATTCATTCGATCGACTTTTTAGAATGACCTTGGTTCCGTATTCCTTGTATGGTAAGTGAAGATTTTCTTTTTTTATTACATAAATAAGTACTATGATTTTAGTTCCGCATATCGTTGTTTTTAATCAATCAAGATAATTATATGTAAATTATATGTAAAATAGTTCGATCACTTTTCAATTCGCTGGCACAACGACGTGGTAAAGAATGAAAATTATTTAACTTTTAACTTCTTTTTATTCATTGCGTAAGCTTTGTTTATAAGTTTATTTACTTTGTAGAACGCTTTATTGACTCTGAATTTTGTGGACATTTCAGCGTTACGAAGTTTGAGGTGGTCAAGTCTTTGTTGATCGGTAATAATTAATTTTATCGTAATTAGTAAACTTCAATAATTGGATAAGACAGCGTCACGCCGTAAAACATAGAAAACGACCAAAGTATGATGTTTGGCGGTACAAATTGATATATGTATTTCAAAGTATGTTTCAAGGATATTTTGATATTTGTTAGCTAATTTTCGACATTGCTTATTTAAGTGTTTTTCCTGACATAAAACTTTAGTATTGTGGAAGTTTAAAAAATAATCACGTACTAAGTAACGATACACTAATCAGTTATCTGATTTTTTTTCAACTGTGCAAGGCTATAATAACATTAAAACTTGTGATAGTGTATTATGAATATTGTTTAAATCAATGGCAATGACTTCTAATGGAATAAATGTCCCATTGAGTTTCTAGATTTATCATTATCCAAGTTAAGTGATATATGTAGCTGTAAGTAGATACTTTCCATATAGCTAGACGAAAGATACTTCTTCAAAAAATGTGAAGAAATTTATGTAAGTACATGTAGATATTGTTATATAGCTGAAGTTACTATGTATTAACCTCTAAGAAAAATGTTGATCAATTGTTTTTTGTGTGTCTCATTTATTGTATCAAATTATATTAATTATGACCTAATATCAGTTATAACAAGCATATAAATTGTGTTTCATTGATTTCATTGATTTTAAGTATCATTGTTGATTTTTGTATAATTTATGGATGTATATATTTAGTACTGTGTGTAAATGTTATGAATTGTTTAGGATGTAATCATCCTAAAAATTAAATCAAGTTTAAGATTATGTAATCAGTATCCGGATTTTTTTCTTCTTTTTTGTAGATCTTGTAAATTGTATACAGTAACTACTTTTGTTTTTAAGCTTTAAAGATATTGGTTATCAAATGTAGTAAACATAATTGTAAACAGAATGATTTTGCCAATTTTTTTATTATAATTACTCTATGCATTCGAGATTTGGGGAAAAAGTACATCATTCTATAGAAATAGAAATAGTGCTATAAAAAGTTTGTAAAATAATATTAAATGTAAACATGATTATCGCTAACGCAGCTGTTTATTGTGAACTTGTACGGAACCCTTGTATGTTTTGAAATATGTTAAAACGTTGAATGAAATTTAATGAAGTTAAAAAATAGTTTTCAGTGATTCTGTTAATGGTAAACCATTCAGATTTATTTGGTTATCAAATTTTGAATAATGTAATGCACATATAATGTTAAATAATTGTGTTTAAAAATAGTATTCAAATGTGTAGCACTTTTGTTCGTATGGATGTTTATCTAGACATTTTAGTCGCAACTAAAATGTATTTATCAGCAAAATAAAATGATTTCTCACTTTTTAATTTCCAACGTTGTCGCTTAAGTAAGAAACTAATTACATGTCCTTAGAAATAAACACCATTGTATTAGTTGTAACTTGCACGATTGGGAAGACAATATAACTTATTCATATAGTGAGGTTAGAATATATAAGTTGAAATATATTTATCGCATGGTGCAGTGATTTGTCTTTGATGTTGCTCGGCTGTTATACGCCAGTAACAGGCTTTATTTATAAAACAAAAACACACACACACAGTTCAGTATCTGAGATAACGCACACTTCTGTAGAAAAAGTGTGCGTTATTTCAAATAAAGCACAGTTATGTAAGTACTCTTGGTTCACATAGACAAAGAAACAAAGGACAAGGGACTCTACTAAATTGAGGGTTGAAAAAAGAAAATGTTCAGATTGGGGGGTAGTGATGGGGATTGGGATATGGCCTTCCGTTTAGAAATAATTTTGTTTTGGGCATGAACCTACTTGAAAGATGCCTATAAATAGTTTAATTTTTTCCTGAATGTAATGTGTTACCTGTGTACACTTTTTTTATGAGTAGCAATACTCCCAATATTATCTATTTCAACTCCCCGAGAAATAGTCATATCCGTTTTCATTTAAATAAATTAAAAATCAATCCTTTGGTATGCCATTTAAACGTGCCGATCAAACTGCAGTTATCGTAATATTAGTAATGTTTTGATGTGTCTGTGCTCATTCAACCAATCAGGAATACCCACCATATTTCTGGTTGGATCTTCATTATGGAGTTGACAACAAGAAAAACAAAAATCGGTCATTTACCAGGTTCCGAGTGGGAAATTGAATTTATTAAGGGGAAGTAAAATGTAAATTGAAATTTTATATCTAATCAAAAATCTTAAATATAAATATTACAAACAGACTTGACTATCTTTTTGAAGAACTTGTCAATTATTACTTTGTTTCGCCTAATGATAATTTAATTGCTTAGCAAATCGTTCAGAACTAAGACGCATGTTTGAATAGCCTGTGTGTAATTTCCGATTTGACTTTTCTTTGATAAAATTGAAATTGTGGTGAACTTTTAAATTTTTCGTTTCAAATGGTAAATGCAGTAATTTTGTATAATTCCAAGGGGAATTTTGGGATCGATGTTTCATAGTACTAATACATGTATCGTTGTATATTGAATATTTACACGTACATCTGTATATATTTAAAGGGTATAAAGCTATAAATAATTTTATGAAATTTACAAAAAGTAAAACTATGGTGGCTAAACCTTTCTATGATTCATAATATTATAGAAATTTCTCGAAGGATAGAATGTATCTTTTATTAACATGAATTTTCAGGATGAAATGATTATGCTGCTGTCTGAGGTAAAGTTTCATATTTCACGACTGTCATATTTGCTCTTAGCATATTCTTTTCATACAGATATTTTGCTAGTCATCTTTTCAAACTTCACACACTATTTTGCTGGTAGATATATACTAAGTAAGTTTATTCACCTTAACTATGTTTTGTCGTATTGAATGATATAGATTCATTTCTTATTGCATGTGTTTATTACATTGTTACATTATATTTGATTGTCAAGATTATTTTGAGCTACTTTTCTAAATGCTATGATTATACTAAACCTGTTATGAAGTAGTTAATATACATATGCCACAATGATTAAACCACACAAACATACTAGAAATAAATGCACGCACACACTCACACATAGAGACACACGACATTTTTGTATAATATTTTATTTACATGGTTTATTTACATTTTTTTTATTAATATATACTTGTATTTTAATTGATTTTTGTTAGATAAGGAGGTATGCTCTGGCCATAAAATAAAAAACAATGTGTTGTTTTACTGTTGTATCTAAAATAAAATGCTGATCTGTCTTTCTTTTCCTTATTTCTTATTGCTGTTTCTGTTGTTGTTATATGTTAGGCGTAACTTAATTACGTGTGGCAATTAGTTAATCTACCATCAATGCCCCCTGCTATGTATAATCATAATGGCAATTGTCTAAACGGCAGAAATTCGCTATACATGAACAATAAATTAGATCAATCGACCGTCGCTTCAACTACAAGAGCCTCAGATGTAAATAAGTAAAAGGATTTCTTTAAACTTAATATTATATCATATTGGCCTGTTGTTGATATAAATACCATTGAAAAAGCATAGTTACAAAAACTCTCCATCGTTGAATATATCAATGTTTACCCAAGATGACGTATGTATTTATCAACTAGCTCCCCATTCTGTTCCGAAATGCAAACAAGTATCAAAAATCCAAAATTGCCCCGAATGGCATCTGCGCCATCTGGTGATCAACCAGGAATATAAACTATTTAATTTTATGAATGAAAACGTTTATTTCCATCCAATGTTCGTTCAAATTGGTCTAGATTTTTAAGGACGATATTTTTAACATGCACGCATTAATATTTTTATCTTTTATATTTGAAAAAAAGCTTTCCTTTTTAACGCTTTATTAATTTATACATAGCATAAGTTCACGTACCAGTTATTAAGTATTTCTCTATATCTATCCCTTCTTCTTTAATTATATTTGTTTTACATTTAGTTTCTTAAATTAAAAGTTAGTTTTGCTAGTAACTAAAATATGTTGATAACATAGAAAATGGCAAAAGAAATGGTGAAATATCTAGTAAAAGTGAGGTACAAAAATAAAAGGAGTGTGCTACTTTCGAAAAAAAAACAAGTTTTGACAAAATAAATGAATTTTATTTTGACGCAGGATATTTGTAAAAATGAATTTTGAAATTTAAGCAAAATAACGCTCGTATACCATTTTGAAAACAAAACCCTTGCAGAATTTTCTGAGTATAAATAGTACCAAGAAACATGACTAGTGGGGATGGCAATCTGTATAATAATAGAATCATATGTCCTTATGAATTTGTGTCCAACTTGTTATTGTACGGCATAACAAAATGAAATAATATTGCTGTTTTTTTTTTCTTCAAATTTTATTCATATATCAAATTACTGGTCATCATTGATGTCACGTATCGTCAACATTTTATCAGGTTCCTCTATGGAGCTGCGTTGGTTTGATTGACTTCATCAGACACTGCGGCGGTATCTACAGCGTTCGTCTCGACTGGTTCCGTTGTTTTGACTTCATCAGACACTGCGGCGGTATCTACAGCGTTCGTCTCGACTGGTTCCGTTGTTTTGACATCATCAGACACCGCAGTTGTATCCGCAGCGTTCGTCTCGACTGGATCCGTTGTTAGGTTTTCATCGGTTGTATCTGTAGTATCAATCTCTTTTGGGTGAGGTTTGTCTTCTTCAACTTCCGGTTCACTGTCACTGTCTGTAATGTATCCATAGATATCAACTGACATTGATAAATGTCAGGAAGTAAATAATTTAATTTTACGTTGTAATTTGTTTATTTACATGTCAAACATATAATTCACATTTAGAATTGATTTTCAATTCGAATAAATATATATAATAATCCACGTGTAACCAGTTCGGTCCAGTAGTAATAACAACATCTAGACATGACATGATCGGTCCTTAAATGAATTTCATGTGTGATATTAAAGATTATTTTAGAATTCAAATAATCCCATTTATATTAGAGAAATAATCGTCTGCTACTTTGTTTAAAGCTATCATTACGTGGCAATCGGCAGACCTCGGTCATTATCTGTAGATTGTTTACATTACACTGGTAACTAGTGTTTACCTTACCATTTCAATATAGAGCCGGGTTTAAAGAATTAGCCGTCCCGAATTTCTCGTGCAACTTTCTCAGTTATTGTTTGACGACGAAGCTATAACACATCAAACTACCCGCCCGCCACAATTATATTAGGACGTTAATAGGCAGGTTCATTAAGATCGAAACTGTAAATTAATTCTTTTGACTGTTTAAGCCTTATGCGTATTGATTTGATATTTAGCTTGTACAAGATTACTGCTGCTGCTCATCTATTTGCAGGATTGAGTTTGAGTTTTGTCAATAACCTGTGTTTGTCCTCAAATGTCAAGAGTTGGCTACGCACCTGAACGCAGAGATTGGACGCTAACCTAATGGAACACTTGGGAGCAAAAACAGTGTGTGTTATAAGTGAACACCAGCTAATGTGAAGAGACTGTGTACTTTATAAATTACAGAAAACATCTTTGTGACTGGTTGATAATAATAATACAGTCAATTATCGTTATCTCGACATCGCTTTTCTCGATATTTCGTTATCTCGATGAAATTTTGAAAGTCCCGATTTTCTTTTTTCTTTATCTATATTGGAAATATTTGTTTATCTCGATATTTTTATCTCGATATTTTCAGTATCTCGATGTACAATTTCAGCCCCAACAGTTATTTTCACACTATTATCCTTTGTTTATCTCGAGTTATAGTTTTCTTTCGTCTGTTCCCTTCAGACGTGTGAAAAATACAAACTAGACGATAATTGCGCAATAGCGCGTGTCATAATGATGATTATGTTTGTAACATGTTTAGCTGTTTTTATAAAAGTTAATCTGTTTAGGGTGTTGATTCACTCATGTCCAAAATGAGTGAATTTTACGTTCTTAATAGATATTCGAACACTGTATCAATTAATTTTGACTTTAAATGTAAATGAAAAAGTGAAAGTATAGAAACGCTATCGTTGCAATATTATTTCACAACATCACCACCAAATCAATCAGCGGTCGAACAACATCGAGAAAAGACCCGATAAATAACCCGAGAGGATATCCGGATCAACCACCCTGAAAACATTGTTTTCACTATATTGGTGTATTACTGAGTAAACCTCACTATGTGTTTTTATCACAGAAACCCGTATTTTCGCTGGTAAACATCCACTAATGTTACTTTGTTAAATATTGACTAGGCCTATGAAAACAAGACATGGAGATTTCATAGTTCATTTGACACAAGATATGCACATGTCTTTTGTAAAAATCAGTTTCTGCCTTATTCAAACCCTAATATGTTTATCTCGACATTTCGTTATCTCGATATTTTTTGGACGGTCCCGATGACTTCGAGATAACGAGAGTCGACTGTAATAATATAGAATTATGTTCGGTGCTAGCTTAGACTTAAATAAAAAAAATGTGGAAATTGAAATTCGAATTTAAAACTGTAGTTGAACAAACTTTCATAGATTCACAGAAATTTATATTTTGTGCTCTGTTTTTTCATATTTAATTTTGATATCATCGCTCACAGTGGCGTAAATTCTTCCGATCGAGAGGACATCAGACATTGTATTCTGTTTTGTTTGGCATTTTAACTTAAAACCCTGTGTATGGTTCTTCTGCTCGTGACGGAATACCCGTCAGGGTAGGCCGACCTATAATCAGGAAATTAATTTTGGAAGTATCATACAGTTTGTCCATGTGTTTGGACTGCAGTTTGCGTTATTTGATTTTGCCCGTAGTACTTGGCAATTCCTGTTTTGTGTTGCAGTGTATAGCGTTGCCGTATGATGGCGTCAGTTGTGTGTTCTATTTATACGCTTGGGTACCCAGCGATGAATGGAATCTTAAATTTGATGTCATTTGCGGTAATCTTTTGGACTGTTGAACACTGTGTTTTGCGTTTGCGTTGCGTTTGTATGATACTGTTTGCGGGTTTTTGTATGTATTGGGACTTTAGCAAAAAGTAAATGTGTAATATAAAGCACGTCTGATCTCCTTTCGGTCGAATTTACTTAGAAACGGGATACCCTGTCAAATTTGAGCGGCCAAAACAATCCAACCTTGAATTGTATTTAGCACGATATTGCTTCATTGTTTGCAATAACATTGTTGAAGCGTTCATGTATGAGTCATATACATATAACAAAATTAAATATGAAAATGTTACTCATAGTCGTTTTATTTTGTGTCAATTATTAAAATTAATGCTTCTGTGGTGAAAATAATGAAAAAAATTAGCACAAGGTAAGACATGAATAAACATTACCGTCGTGGTGCATGTGACTCAATGTAGATGGGTGGCGTTTTAGTCCGGACTCTTCCTGTTTCGCACGAAGTATGGTATTACTATGCACGAGTTGTGCGTGCTCTATGGCCTCCATTAATTCCTTCATCATTTTAACCTTTTCTTCACTAGGCTATAAATACGAAAAATTAAAACAATTGTCTTTAAATGGCCCCATTGTCGACACTGTAGATGATGCATAAAGAGGATACATTCGAATAAAGCTTGCAACCGTCGACTCTATTCGAATTGGTCTATAACAGGAGACCTGTAATATAATACTTAATAAGTATAAGACATAAGTGCACACCATGAAAGAATTTTCTTGCATATCGTACTGGCGTTTCCGTGAGTTTTAACCATGCCGGAAATTTCATCTGGCATGGGGGGTGCCAGACGAGTCGCGTGCCAAACAACAACGTCATTTTAGCGCACTTTATGAATGAACCGCGTTAAAATGACGTCGTTTTAGAAGGGAAATATGTGCTTATGATGACCATTATCATGCTTATTATAAAACCAACATTGTGCGTTTGCGACTAGCATGGATCCAGACCAGCCTGCGCATGTGCGCAGTCTGATTAGGATCCATGCTATTCGCTTACCAACCCTTTTTACAAGTAGAGAAACTGATAGCGAACAGCATGGATCCTGATCAGACTGCGCGGATGCGCAGGCTGGTCTGGATCCATGCTTGTCGCAAACGCACTATGTTGGTTTTGTCGTGACGCGGCTCATTATTATCTGTTTACCAACATTATATCTGTATAAATAAACTTAGGATACCTGTGTTCCTTTCACCTTGTCTTTATAAAGCTCGTGTAGTTGATCACTATTCTGGGAAGTGTTACATGTTATATTTCTCTTTCCTTTCATTGTCTCCTCGAATTTCTTTTCGGCTGATTCTTCCTAATGTGCAAAGCATATTTACTTTTTTTTTCAAATGGCAAAAATTATAAATGAAAAACAAACCAATCGTTCTTGATCGTTTACTCTCTTATACACATTTACCTGAAAGGAACTCCGCGGAGGTCAAAAAGCCTAAAAGCTTAAATTGATTTTTATTTATACAGATAAGCTTTGGCTAAACAGAAAGATATGCAAAAGATAGTTAAGAAATATACTCAGAAATAAATTGAAAATCGTATATGTGTTATCTTAACACAATTGTTGGTCATTTTTTAGAATAATCATTTGTAAAAAATGAGTGAGAGAATGATCTGAAAATTGCACACAAGCAAGCTATTGGTCTAAACCTCCATCAAATGAAACATAAATGAGCCGCGCTATGACAAAACCAATATAATACGTTTGCGACCAGCATGGATCCAGACCAGCCTGCGCATCCACGCAGTCTGATCTTCGCTATCAGTTTCTCTACTTGTTAAAGGGCTGGTAAGCGAACAGCATGGATCCTGATCAGACTGTGCGGATGAGCAGGCTGGTCTGGATCCATGCTGTTCGCAAACGCACTATGTTAGTTTTGTCGTGACGCGGCTCAAATCTCGGAAAAAATATCAGTCCCGTCATGTCGGAGTCCCATCATTAAACTTAAAAATCCCGATATGCTTGCGCCCATCCTTTTCATTTTCAGCTCACCCTCTCGGTCTGTAAATGTTCGTGCAGAGTCTATTAAAAATAACATAAACTCATAGTTTAAACTTTATTTATCCGACAAATTGTACATGTGCGTACAACATTTACACTTTTAACTTAGAAAACAAGTAAAAAATACAATAACTTATATCAATTCCTCTCTAGTCAAGAACATATACAAAATTGAGATACAAAAAGTGTGAGAAAATACCGCTGATATAATAAATAATTATATATGATATAATGTGTGATAAATGTTGATAATGTAAGTAAAGTGGCATTTTGACTACCATTCAAAATACTATACAAATTGCCAGAACAAAGATACCGGTAAAGATCTATAATTTAGCTACATGACCATTTGGTAATATTCTGAAACTGTAACAGGACCTAGGAAAAACTTAAGAAAAAGAAAGAAAAGTGTTTTAACTGTACCAATTGCCACAGCAAAAGTAAAGGTTCAGACACATGGCCAATTGGTAACTTTTTGAAATTGTTACAGGACGCTAACATTCTAAAAATTTTGAGAGAAAAAAGAGAAACGTACTTGCAGTTTTGAAGCTAAATGGGACATTTACATTATAATCACATATAAACTATATCAACCTTTTTCATTAAAGGCGCATTATGCCTAAGAAAACATCTTTATAAAGGTCAAACGAGGCTGAAGAAATTAGAGATAATTGTGACTGAGATAATGTATCATAAACGTAGCAAAGTGTGAACTACATGTAAGTAGTATTTTTACTTACATGCACAATACTAAATCTCTATAACTGTATCAACTGCCAAAAAGCAACAGATGAAAAAGATGGTTCAGATACTTGTCCAATGAGTAACATTTCTGGAAACTTTATAGGTACACCAAAAATAAAAAGCTTTTGAGGAATAAGAAAAGAGTTATTTTTGAGGCATAATTGGGCCTTTAAGCCTTTTCTCTAATTTCACACACTTCATTCAGTTCATAACCATTTTTATTTCACAAATAAATCTTTGTTATCAGTTAATATGAGCCGCGTCATGACAAAACCAACGTAATGGGTTTGCGACCAGCATGGATCCAGACCAGCCTTCGCACCTGCGCAGTCTGATCAGGATCCATGCTGTTCGCTTACAAACTCTATTACAAGTAGAGATACTGATAGCGAACAGCATGGATCCTGATCAGACTGCGCGGATGCGCAGGCTGGTCTGGACCCATGCTGGTCGCAAACTCACAATGTTGGTTTTGTCGTGACGCGGCTCATATGTTATTCAGTTAAAACTTACTATCATAGCTCCAATATGTCCACAGACATGTAGACAATGAATCTTTTTCTTTTCTTCTGCCATTTTTAAACAGTCAACTGCAGATTCCTTAAAGAGGAAAATGTCTATCTTGTTAAGATTATGTTTTAAAATCTTTATAAAAGTGATGCAATATGGTATTTTTGTCTCTAAAATTGAAGATTGTTTTAAAACAGTGCCAATAATATTACATCTAGACCTAAATTAGAAATAAAAGTAACTTCATAAACATTTCATTCATAAACATATCACAACCATGATTTCCAAGGAAGTTTGGAACCGTTTGGAGTCAAATTTAATCAAAAGAACATAAAACTTGCTAGTTATTTAGTATATCTTATATCGTTTTAAAAGCACAAGTATATAAGTTATATACATCTAAGTAGATCTACCATCGCTCTCCGGCCGTGTAAGGAATTTATTCTAAATTTCATCGTGGGAGAAGGTCTTATTTTGAGAGTATGTATTCATTCACACTCTTACCGGAACAAAATATAAAAAGTGTGTATAGAATTTTAACCAAAAAGATCAGTCATAAAATATGCTCGTTAGTTAACATTAATGAATACTGACAACAAAGTTTTTTCTCAATTTTAACAAGTTTATTTTATGTGTTTATTTTCTGATGCAAATGTTTGTAAATTTATAATTTGTGTCGGTCTCTAAGTCCATTATGGACTAGTAATGTACATTTTTATTTATCGTCGGTTACCCATGGTATACATGTATATTCCGTACATTCAACATATTGTATATATATTCTCTATCTATAAAACATAATGGTGTATGTTTTTATTCATTGTCGGTTATCCACGCTTACAACATATAGTATATATTCTGTATATAAAACATAATGTTGTATGGACGGAATATATACCATGGGTAACCGACGATTATCTCTATTATGATTAATATAATTTTAAGATCCTGTAACTCAATCTTTTTATGGTTTTATATCATATACATAATGCTCAAATGACGATTTATCAATATTGTTACTTCCAAAAAACATTATTTGAAATACTTTATGTTAATAAAGGGAGGTAATTAGAAATTTATTTTCTATTAAGTCTAAGCCAAATTTTTCAATAAGAAATAAGTGCATATAGTTTAATTTACAGTACATAATTTTACATATTCTTCGATATTAGAAGCATAATTCTATATTAAATTTCACTTAAGTGTGACAACAACCTTAATTACAACATACAGGATCTCAAATTAATGTTCGTGTAATCATGAGATTTACTCTAACAGAATATGATTATCCTGTAAAACGTGATAGGAAAACAATATACATTATAATTTTTGAGGTAACAGAATAATATACACACAGGCAGTATGTAATTAACTGAAAGTAACATTATGCTCATATTTTTATAGTCAAATTGAGCTGAATTGACTTTATTTTTCAAAAGATTGACTATAAAAATGGTGTTTGACCAACAGTTGATATTGGAAAATGTTTAGAATAAAATTATAAATCTGCCTAAAATTTAAAAAAAAAATGCGAATTTAATTATAAAATTAAAAGGGATTATGGCAAAATGAAAAATTATTTTGATCTTCACCCGTTCACTCACTATATGTCCGTGGATGGGCATAATGTCACTTGTATATAGCTAACTGAAGTTACTTTATTTCATTTTGACAGAGAAACAAACTATTGTTCGGGGGGGGGGGGGGGAGTATTTAAAATTTGGCTTAAAGATCTAACCAGCACAATCCCAATAAATATTAATGTATTTTTCTTTCATTTTTGCAAAACAACAGACAAGATTCTTTCCTTTCTTCTTCTATTTTTTTTCCTTCTATATTTCATTTTCTCAAAATCTATTTTTGTTTTTGTTATATTCGGCAAATGTACATGTTTTCTAAGTCATTGTAACGCAAATATATAAAAATCAGTTAACATCGTTAAATACCATTCAAGCTAGAGAACATGTACACCCAATCATTTTTATTGTTCTTTCTTACCTAAAATCATTTTTAAAGCCAAGTACTATATATGTGTGAGTTTTGTTACTTCTATCTAACTGATAGTCATTCTTGTATATTATTAAGTTATTGTAATTTATTGCATCAGGGAAGACCCGTTGCTAATGTTGAGAGAATTTGTGGGTCAACCCTTTTGCCAAATATGTCATGTCATTGTATTGTAACTGTCTACATGTATGTATATGTCTTATTTTTGGCAATAAAATATATTTAAATCAAAAATTTGGCTTATTATGTTCAATTCGCCTTAGACCGATTTAAAACAAAGTAGATTTAAATTACTCCATATACTGTAAACATTACTCACTTAAACAATAGCTATATGACTGCGATCCATACATAATTATAATAATTTAAAAGGCACACATTCATCACCCTAGGTAAGAAATAATTTATCCAAAAACAAAAATTGTGTGAAAGGTTCTAAACTTTATTAATATTAATATTAATATAATCCTGCGCGTTCTATCGATTTGGATGATTTTTTAACTATTTTTCGTCGTTGCAGGAAGATCTTGTATCTGAGAATGATCTAGAAACTGATACATTCTGTAATGATCACGATTTTAACGATACGTCTTGTACTTTCGCTAACTGGATTGTCCTATTACAGTTGCTGAAGTTGAGTTTGCAATTCGCGGGTTAAAAACTAATAAATCGTGTGCGGGTGACAACTTAATAAATGAGTATTTTATACAAACT